TTTCTTAGGAGGTAACGTTGTTTCATGGAAAAGGAAGAAACAATCCGTGGTAGCGAGATCCAGTGCTGAGGCTAAGTATAGGGCAATAGCGCATACGACGAGTGAGTTGACTTGACTACTATACTTCCTCCAGGAAATTGGGTTTCTAGTTCAACTTCCTTTACATTTGTTCTGTGACAACCAGACAGCTATCCATATCGCTGTAAATCCTGTGTTTCACGAGAGAACCAAGCATATTGAGGTTGATTGTCACTTTATTCGGGACAAGATAGTAGCTGGGGAGATTATAACTCCATTTGTACAATCTGAATATCAGCTTACAAATATGTTTACCAAAGCATTGAGTCGTACAAGTCTTACAACTATTTGTTCAAAGCTTGAATAATAAGATATATATAGTCCAACTTGAGGGGGACTGTTAAGAATAGTAAGGTAGTATGTGTAAATTATTAATAGTAAGAGGGTGTATGTGTAATTCTTATTATTGTAGGTTAACTATAAATACAAGTGATGTATGAGAGTTAGGTTAAGTTTTTAACCTCTCTTTTTCTCTCTAATATTGTGTTATGTTAATTCTCTCAACTTAACACAGGGCATACAATCTGACTTGAATATTTTTCTTCTTTGTTGTTGTAATCTTATCCAACTCTGCAAGAAAAAATTATATATCCTGCCCTCAAAAAAAAAAGCTTATATACACACATCTTTTGTAAGCCTTGATTATTACTCCAGCACGATGAAAATAGGTTCTTCCTTGTTTATGAATGCAGTGGTGTCACCATCATCCTCACTTGCAATGCAGAGCTCCCCATCAAGGCATCCATCGCCAGCCTTATTCTTTTCTCTTGGAGCAATAGTTATGCTATTGATATTGCTGATTCTCATTTATTTCTTCTGTAAAATTTTCAAACCAGCAGAGCTGAAAAAGTTGGTTGTCCATACAAAGTAAGGACCAAGGTTGTAAATTTTATGTTGTGTAAAAGTTAAGAAATAGTTGGTTTGATGAGACAAACTATGAAAAACTTCTCACTTCATTGCAGCAACAAAAGATGTTTGCAGTGGAAATCTTCGTACAATAAGCTATTTTAACTTCCAGACATTAAAGAAGGCAACTAATAATTTCCACCAGAGTAATCTGCTTGGAATAGGTGGATTTGGGCCTGTCTATCTGGTAATGCTGAATCTGTTTGTTCTTTTTTTTAAGTTTGTACTTCAGAGGTAATTCAAAGATGAGTATGAGCACTCTCTGAGGACTGTGACATATGCACACATAGCTTTGTAATAGAAGATCGAATAAATTAATTAATGGAACTCATCATAAGTATCCATATCACAAGATTTGGATAAATAGGTTAATTTCAACCATTTGCTTGATTTCTCTACATGAGATGTTATGAACTGTCAATCTTTAGTTGGGTGTGGTTCATGAACCAATCTGTTTATTCATATTATGCCTATTAAGATGGCCTAATCATATTGTAAATTGTGTTTGGTAGGGAAAGTTAAAAGATGGGAGGTTGGTTGCTGTGAAGAAACTGTCTCTTGACAAATCCCAGCAAGGAGAGCTGGAATTCCTTGCAGAAGTGAGGATGTTAACAAGTATACAGCACAGGAACCTGGTCAGCCTTCTTGGATGTTGCTCAGATGGAGCTCAAAGGGTANGAAGTGAGGATGTTAACAAGTATACAGCACAGGAACCTGGTCAGCCTTCTTGGATGTTGCTCAGATGGAGCTCAAAGGGTACTTGTGTATGAATACATGAAGAACAGAAGTTTGGACCTAATAGTATATGGTATGCTTTTGTTATATATATATATTTCATGGTCTGTCTACAGTATAAACAATTTATCTGATACAAAGTCGCTACTTGGTTCTAGGGTAGAACTAATTTTAATTCTAAAAACGAAANTACTTGTGTATGAATACATGAAGAACAGAAGTTTGGACCTAATAGTATATGGTATGTTTTTGTTATATATATATATTTCATGGTCTGTCTACAGTATAAACAATTTATCTGATACAAAGTCGCTACTTGGTTTAGCGTTACTTGGTACTTGGTTCTAGGGTAGAACTAATTTTAATTCTAAAAACGACAATTAGTCTTGCTTGAAGTGTAGGAAGTTCTATATTTCATGCTAGTACCAATTATTGCGAAAGACTACATATCCCACATGGGCAATGTCAGACTTGACAGTAGATTTAGGGTCATCCAAGGTTGGGTTATATGGTTGACAGGACTGCATCCATTGGCAATTGGTTTTGGGTTGGTTGTCTTTAACCATGGCATCAAAGTTGAGCCTTGGGTGGTCAGTTTACCAAGGCTTTCACCCATTTGAGTTTTTCATTTTGTATGGTTGAGCGGCTCCTCCATCCTTGGGCAATTGGTTTTGGTTTAAATGTTTCAATTCTGACCTCTAAATCTCAGTTGTCCAATCTATATTATTGCTTTCTACTAAAGATAGTACAATAACAATGAAAGCATAATATGAAGTATTGAATATCTAAAGCTTTAGTGTGACCTGGATATTCAAAGGCTTTAGTGTGACCTGAATATCTGCTTTGACTATTTTGTGACACAGGAAAAAGTAATCAGTTCCTGAACTGGAACATTCGGTTCCAAATAATTCTGGCCATTGCTTGAGGATTGCAATACCTGCATGAGGATTCACATTTCAGAATTGTTCACAGAGACATCAAAGCTAGCAACATTCTTCTGGACGATAAACTTCAACCAAGAATTGGAGATTTTGGCCTCGCTAGGTTCTTCCCTGAAGATCAAGCTTATCTCAGCGCAAAATTTGCTGGAACCTTGTAAGTATTTCCAATAATAGATATTCAAGAATGCATTTTCCTACAGTAATTTCCCATGGATATCTTTAACACTGATTTTGATGGCAATTGGAAGATAAATGACTTATAGAGAATTAGCCAAGCATAGGAAAGTACAAGAAGTTGGGTACTAATAATGCAACTTAAAAGAAATTCCTAGGTAAAATCTAATGCAGGAGCCAGAAGGAGAAGATTTGCTCTTAGACTTGAATTTGCATTCTCATGTTAGGTAGCCGGATCTTTTTAACGCGTCATGTTATTGCCCCTTTTATAAGACAAAGAATACAATCAGTTCTTAGTCCTTTGAAGCCAGCCTCTAGACTTGTTGAACATTAATCGTCCCCTATAATTTTTTGGAAATTTTGTAGAATTTACACTTGGCAGCTATACATGAACAAAAAAAGTTTGTATATGTTCATACTGCCACCATCATGACAATCTCCATCATCAAAATGGCACCAATTACATCACCACCGGATCATAACCATCCTTTGGACAAACTAGAGATGCATCGTCTGGGGTATTACACAAACACAAACATGATCTTCATCCATGCCACCGCAACAATGTGCACCAACTTGAATATCCTTTTCATTGTTGCTAATACCTCGTGGCTGTTGTCACCAGTATCAACTATTTAGTTGAGAGACTAGGAAGAGGGGTTATGTCTTACTCCCCTTTTATTGTTAGGAAATTCAAGATCCTTTTTAAGCCAGTCTAGAAGTATCATGCATGCTGAAATGCCAAAAATTGATGTATATGTGAATTGGTCCTATTCCTAAATTGAACTCAAAATGAAATCGTACTTTCTAATTGCCACCAAACTTGGGCCTAAGCCTCTGGTTTGTTGGCTTCTGGTCTATTGATCTTGCTACCATGATCTAGTCCCCAATCAATACAAAACATGATCAATTTTTCAAATCGAATCAGATGAAACCTCAGAGTCAAGGTATCTCAGATCAGATAGAGTGGAAATTAATAATATGTTGTGTACATCTCGTACCTCAAAGTTTAACCAATTTGATATCCTTTAGTTTTGACATAGAAATCTCAGAGTGAAAACCCCTGAGCCTCTCTCTCTCTCTCTCTCTCAAGTTTAAGGGTTGAAGAATGGGAAGAAAATAAGTGACGACGTAAAAAATGATGTTAGAGGCCTGTTTATAGTGTAAATCACACGAAGGAGGCTAAGGCAGTGAAAAAAACTTAACAGTGAAGGCCCAGCTTGTTGACCGGTTCAATGGACCAGTTAAGAAGGCTGCCCATTTGCTCTTTTGCCCAGGAAACTCATCCAGCTGACCAGATGTGTGATCTGATCGGTCAGATCAACCCTCTGTCCATCCCAATCTATTTTCATTATTTCAAATCCGATTTTTTGTCAAAAATTCATAACTAAATCTCTAACCATCGGAATTCAAGTTTCATCATAACCAAAAACCCAACTCGACTCTAAATGAGATTCCTACTTGGATCAAACTACGCTAGTCTTATCAACCTCAAAATTCACCACTATCTTGTATTAAATTTCAATTCGTATTAATTTGATCTGAGAAGGAATCTCGTTTGGATTCGAGTTGAGTTTTGGGTTTCACCACTCTGTAGAATGGAGGTAACATTTACTCGTGTTTGGAAATATTGTTATGAACATAATTTTTCACAAGCAGTCACTTCAAGGTCATATTTAGGCAATTTTTTTAATAAGAACCAAAACAATTTTATACACAAGAAGGTAATACACAAGGGAAATGATAGGTGAACAAAACAAAGTTTAAACTGCCTGTCATTTGATCATAAGGTCATCTGTCTAATTACCTTTTCTCTTTCCTTCTTTTTGCACGGTCTAATTAATATGCCATTAGAGGAGAATTGTCCGAAAAGGCTGATATATATAGTTTTGGCCTTCTGGTGGTTGAAATTATTAGCTGCAGAAAAAATACAGATCTTACTTTGCCATCGGAAATGCAATACCTCCCTGAATATGTGGGCCTTTCACTTTTTGAGCATTTTTTTTAATGATATTTCTGTTTTAGCTTGTTGATAATGAAGTGAAAATGTCAATAATTTTTAAATTATTATTTGTAATATGTTTTAGACCTGGAAGCTCTATGAGAGGTCAAATGTGATTGATCTAGTGGATCCAAAAAATGCGGGAGGATGGGTTTGTGGAGAAAGATGTTTTGCAAGTAATCCATGTTACCTTCTTATGCATTCAGCCTCATGCAAATTTGAGACCACCCATGTCAGAGATTGTAGCGATGTTAACATGCAAAGTCGAAGTGGTGAGAACACCTATTAAACCAGCCTTCTTTGATAGAAGGTGCAAGAAGGATGAGAAGGTTTCTTGGGATACTATCTCAGAGGTTCTCCCATCCCCTATGCAGAGTGAGTCACATTCCTCGCCTTAATCTCGAAACTAAGGTTGGCACTTCCACACAACATACTTCTATACAAAACCATACAATATAATTTATGCTATGATTGTTAGATCCGTTTTGCAAAATTTGCAGAAATAGTTCAGCTTTGATCCCTTTTTTCTCTTGGCTAAGTAGTTTTGTCTATTATTTCTTGTACATACAGATATCTACTAAGAGATGTAGCGATGTAGAGTTGCAGGATTGTGGTATAGGATCATAGGATTGTTGTTTCTTAGAAAAATAGCCAGATAGGAGTTTAGTTTGTCATGTTTGGGAGATAAGAGTCTGCAGTTGGGGCTGCTATTAGGTTCTTTAAGCAATGTCGTATTGTTGTTGTTGTTGCTGCTACTTCTATTGGTATTGCTATATTCTCACAGTTATTAAATGGACCATGTGCATGCAGTCTCAAACTAGGTTATTTTGCAAGTTATTTTGAAAGTGGCAAGCTGCAGATGAAAAGATAGGAATTCTTATAAAATACATTTTTTCTGTCTGCATTATCCGTTAATTGTATTATTCGTGTCTAAATCTTATTTTGATTAATTTATCATTCGTGGGAATTGATCGTGTCATTTTTAAATTTTATGTCGAGTCTAATTCTTGTCAGATTCGTATCGAGTTCGTATGAACAGGTAAAATTGATACCCCTAATGTTGTCCAGTTACTCACTCTGCCGCATCCTGGCTGTGTCTGTTCTCTACTTTTAGAGACAGAGAGAGAGCCTTTTTTTTTTTTTTTTNATTTTATTTTCTATCATTTTCACTTTTTATTTCTCTTCTCTTACTAACCAAACGGAGTTTGGCATGTAACCCTAACTAGGGTCGCGGCCCTCACGGGCCCGTGAGGCTGCACAGACCCAAAAAGTGGGCTTAATGTTTCACCAGCCGGGCTAAAGACACACCACATGATGGTCTGGGCCAACCCATTATTTGATAACCTTTCGGTTCATCTAATGGGCTGTGAACTTTTTGGTGAGTCTTTGAATCCATCTTGTGGGCTTGTTTAGAGCAATTGAACATCATACGTGAACAGACATCTTTGTGTCTCCTAACTAGCCCGTTAATTATGTCAAGTGAAGCTGGTTCGTTTAGGATTTTAGTAAGTTCGTGTAAAAAAACATTTTATTCATGTCCGATTCATTTATTAATTAGTGTTTAACGAGTCGTATTATATTGAATTTGTATCGTGTATGAATAATAAATAAATTGTGTAGTATATTTTTTTTGATTAATTACAATCATACCCTCTAATTTTATATCGTATTAACGAGTCATGTCATATTTTTATACTCTTAAC